GGCATCTCACAGGATATTAAGGGACGCGTGTATCAGACTGCAGTGCCAGCCGTATTGCCTACTGCATAGAGAATTAGCCGATTCAGGCGGAGGATCCTAGAAATCTTCAGGTCTCTGTCCACCTGTGTCGCAGAACTTTGGTTGCATTTGGCTGGAATAGCCGAATTCACAATGGGTGATCAGAAGGCCAGTTTTTGTGAACCAGAGAGCACTTCCAATAAAGAATGCATCAATTAATGCAAGCCGAGATTGTTGTACCATGCTTCACACGCCGAGTTACCTCCTGCCAAGAAGAGCGCTGTTTCGCATGCCTAATTTGGAGTTGCACAAACCTGGGAGTGGACAGAATTTGACATGACAATGCAATGAGTGATGTTACGAAAATTTTGTGTGCATTTTTCGTGTAGCTCCACCTGACCCTTCTTGTACTCGGCTGGAGACAATGAGCAATATGGGGGCTAACCGAATTTAAGTATGTTTATGCTGTTAGTTTCTATTAGGATTGTCTGACTGAGTGTTGGAGGTGTACGCCCCTCGGATGTTTGTTGTAGGCTAGCCAAAGGGGGCGAGATGGCTTAATTTTTAGAGCGTGAATTTACTTACCGGAAGGTCCGTGATTGGAACCCGACCTCTGTCTCTTGACTTCCTGTTGTCTAGGCTTGGCCAACCTGGCATTATCCAAGCTCTCGTGCTTCCTTCTGGTGGCGTGACAGTTAGGCACAGTTAGGCTACAGCGTGGTCCGAACCCATCCTCTGCATCTAGGCTTGAACACCTTGGCAGTATTACAGCCCTCGAACTTCTTTCATGGGTCATGGAAGCTATGCACCGAAGAGTGTTACAGCTGAACGAACTGAGGAATATGTGTGAATCGAATGTAGTGTTTAGCAGGGCTTTGGTTTGGCAGTTTTCGATGTCGTTGTCGACATTCCAGTTTTGTGTTTTACACTGTCCCTATTAACGTTTCAATCAATCTCTTTTTTTGAACAACTATACTTCTCATCCGCGGTTTTTCTAATGGGATTTCGACAAGCCCCATGCATGAAGTAGTTGTACCGAAGTCTCCAGTTCCTGTCTTCATTCATAACGTACTCTCCATGTGGACTGTTATGCATGCAGTACATGCTGGTCGTTGGCTTGTTCGCTGAGCTGGGCAATTTGGTTGCAAACGTTTCATCACCAATCGAGGTGACATCATCAGTGCGTAGTTGTGCGTAGCGGTGGGTTAGTGGTTGTGCAATCCCTTTCCAACCCATTTTTTCCGTCATCGTCATCATTTCTGTCCCGATTAGAAATGAGAATACACTGGAAGTGGATCCTAGTTCATTACTGTGATGCAACAGATGGGTAAACAACGCTTTATTAAGTAGTGGCTGGAAATATGGCAGAGGTTAATTTAATAGAAAAAACGTTCCGTCGTGATGCCTACAACTGATCGTTTGGAGACAAGGGGTCTGATGACTGTTTCAGCATCCTTACTGTCATTGTTCAACACAAGCGCCATCCCACAACGACAGATAATCCATAGTGTCGTGTGCACACAATAGAGGCACCAGGTCCCAGCGATCCTCTGAAGGTAGGTGTTCACGACAATCTCTGTGGATGGAAAACAAAGTAAGCCGAAGTCCAGTAAGCAACATTGTACATCGTTCAGCTGTAGCACCATTTCGGTGCCTAACTGCCATGCCACCAGAAGGAAGCACGAGGTATGGAATACTGCCAAGTTGCCCAAGCCCAGACAGGGGAAGTCGATCAATAAACACATCGACATTGACCCAGTCTATCAGCCGTTACGAGCAAAGGAACCACACAGTCATGGGACTCTGAGCCAAGAAACCTAACGACAACCAACCGACTAATTGGATTAAAGGAAGACAATCACTGAAAAACAGAAGGCCGCTGACTCAACCAAGCAAGGGAACAAACTCACACCACAAAGCAAGAAGAAAGCGGCCGAATCACTAGAGAACAACTACACACAGAACTGCCTAATTGAATGCGCCCAACGAACCAACCAGATACAGAAGATTGAGACCACGTCAGATTCACAGAAGGCCAATCAAACTACGCGAAGATCGCCTTTAGAACTACCAGATACCGTTTAGATGTTATATAATCACAAGCAGAAGAGGAGGAATTCACCCGCTCAACCCTGCACTGACGATGTCACGTCGATTGGTGATGAAACGTTTGCAATCCAACTGCCAAGCTCGGCGAACAGACCAACAACCAAACAGCACACCCGAGCTACCTACATTCCACAACATTGCCATGTTTTCATGTCTTGTGGTGCTTGTAACCAAACCAAGGAGGCATACAGTTTGGACAGTTTTCAAGCAGACGTCTTCGTGGTTATTTTTATTTTGTTGGTTGCCACTTGTGAACAGTTTTCTAGTTGGTCGTTGGCTTGTTCGCTGAGCTGGGCAATTTGGTTGCAAACGTTTCATCACCAATCGAGGTGACATCATCAGTGCGTAGTTGTGCGTAGCGGGGGGTTAGTTAGACAACCACCAACCCGCCGCTACGCACTGATGATGTCACCTCGATTGGTGATGAAACGTTTGCAACCAAATTGCCCAGCTCAGCGAACAAGCCAACGACCATCTACGCTACCTGAGCTACCGACATTCTCCTCTATAGAAAAGCAGTACTTGCTCTCAAGTACCATCACTGTCGGTCGCCTTCGGTTTTTGATTGATCGAAGACATCGGAAAATTCTTTCGAGGCCTTTCATGTGAAACTCGACCAAAGGCATTTTTTAGGATGACAATAAGCTAAATGACAACCAAGTCAGATGGCTGAAGTGACTGTCCTTGGTAGATCGATTATGGGCAATTTTGGGTCGTGTTACCAGTCTTAATAGCTCCTGGGCGCTGACGGACGGTTTTACTAGCTTTATTAGGAGCGAGACGGCGGTGGTCGCAGCGCGATTTTGCTGACCAAAGGATCCGTGGTTCGGACCCGACCTCTGCATCTCGACTTCTGTCTAGGCTTGGGCAACCCGGTAGTATCCCAGCCCTCGTGCTTCCTTCAGGTGGCATCGCGGCCAAATACCGAAAGAGTGGTACAGCTGAACGAGTATTATTATTATTATTATTATTATTATTATTATTATTACTTTTCAAGTATGTCAGGTGGACGGATTTTTCGGGTTCTGTTTTCCAGGCATTGCACAAAATTTTGTTAAAGTTGATCCCGACAAGACTGCTAAAGTTAGCTTGTTTTCGTGATCATTAAATTTCCTCGGGGGCATCTTTGCTTAACTTGGGACCAGGGCTTCGTTGAAGGGTATCGTAGGGCAAATGGAACAGTTGTTCAATTCTGCTTGCGATGCCGGTTCCACAAATGGATACCTACTGTTAAGTTGCGCTAGATAGTCCCCAATGGGTGACTGGGATGATTGGGCGACGATAAAAACATCTACACAACGAGGGTTATCGTCCATACGTTTATACGCATCGGTTCACTTTTTGTTCGGCCAATCGAGTCGTTTTCCATTTCTTTTACATATGTCTCGATAAACGTCCATGATCTGCGTTAAAAATTAACCACCAACTCGCCTTGGTCTTCTGGGAAGTCGTCATTCGAGGAGTCAGTCAATACCGCATCATATGTGATTGTGGCAAGATGTGGGTTAGTCACACTTTTTATCAACCACCACTTGCGAGTACTGGAATCCTGAAGAGATCTATTAAGTACATACTACTGGTGATTTCCTAGGTGGACGAAATGACTGTTCAGTACAACTCGGTCTCCGAACATGAGTAGACTTCATTTGCGTGATAAAATTTCGGTTGAAAGTTTCACTTCTCTGATGTATACCAAGTTTATACAACACGGTCAAGAAGTGAGGTGAGCATACTTGTGTTGCATGTAGGTCAATCATAATGTTGGGCGAAGTTCACCACTTCATATACACCGATGTGAAGTGACTACGAAACACGACTGAGCCCAATCCACTGGTCCGTATTGAGCAATCATTAAGGCCGCAGTGAACCTCCATAACAAAGACATTTTTTCACGAGAAACGAAAATCGAGGTGCTAACCGAGACGGTTTCGGATGTATGGTTAATAATCGATGAAGACAGTGTGTCATCGCTTATCCGTGAGGTCGCTTTGTTTTATCAACGTACTCACGAGTCACGGCTCCTGGGGTTCTTTGAACTTATCTTAGGAAAACTTGTTTGTAATAGGTTGAATAATTTTAGTTCTCCCTTGGTAAAGGCACTAAAATGGTTGCTCGGATTGTGGGGTCATTAGCATCACCACGAGGCGTAATGTGCTACGTAACTTCATGTGAATTCCAAATCATTTGAGGCTCATCGAAACCCCATCAGCAGCACTACGAGTACCAAAATACACAATCACTACGTAGCTTGATGTGAATTCCAAACCCCTCTACTGTAATACCCTTTCGGGACATGGCTACCGTGACACCCGAAGGAAGCACGAGGGCTGGGATACTACCAGGTTTCCCAAGCTTAGACAGGGTAAGTCGAGATGCAGAGGGCTTACAGTGAACGTCTAGTTTTCGATTCGGTGTTGGCTGGTTGTATACTTGTTAATTTATTGAATCTAACGCATTTTTACTGCGGAGCATAGGATCCGGTACACACGCACACACATAGCTAAGTTTCGAGTGTTTGGTTGAAGCAGAAAAATACCAATGTGTGTGGTCTACTTCCGGACAAAGTCTACGAAAATCTCCCCCACCTTACGTTTTTTTCCGAACTGGTACTTCCTTACATTTTCTTTTCTGGCTCAACCTATTCTTTGAGTTTGTCTTTCATTGAGGCTTTCCGAAAGGCAGACTCCAGGCTCCATTTTCTGGCATAGTTAGACGAGGAATGCAGTGATACCTCGGACGTACGTTTTGCATCCACCGTGTCACCTTGTTTCCAATGGTTTCACCTCTTGTATGATTTCTTTTATACCGGGGCTGGGTCCGATTGTTTTGCGACCTTGTCACTTTACAACAATCCTATCACTTTTCGTTGCAGCCTTCAAACCTCTCCTGATGTAAAACATTGTGGAACGTCATTGTGTTTCACGTTCCAGTGCCATAACAGCGACCCTAATTTTATTTCGTCTTGGGGGTACAATGTCCAAGAAATTCACCCTGTTCGGCTGTTTCTCTGGTTGGGGCAAGCCTCTTGAATCAAAGAAGCTCACTAAATTCCACACCCGCGATCGTAGTGAAAGTTTAGCCGATTTACCGTCGATAACTGAGCTTTCACATGTCAATGCTACAGTTACGAAGTCTCACTGCGAACGCGATGGGAGTGCCCGTGAAACGGTTTCACTATCCACAGCAAGTCAAATACCCGTTCTGGGAGATACCACCTCGGCCAGCCTCGGAGGTTGGTCTTCTGTACATCATCCCGAGGGATCAGCTGACCTGTCGAAAATCAACTTACTGGCCAGTGAAGATTCTTGCAGTCTCATTCGACCAATTTTGGGTGCTCTGTCACGTTCTAATGAGCTTAGCGAAGAATGCTACGAACGTCTCGAGTTGCTGGTTCAGCGTCTAGAACATTTGGCTGGAATTCGTTCGACCGGTAGGTTCCCTTGTTTGTGTGCATACCAGTTTGTTCATATGTAGGCTGGTATGCACGTGTATGTTTGTCTGAGCCATCAGTTTCTGACACAGGTTCCGACTATGCTTTCATTCCCAGTTGTCGACAGTCGCGGTCTCTTGGCATTCCAAGCACTGATCGATAAAGTACTACCACACTACCTTGTCCTGAGCACTGGCCTTGGACCGGAAGTCAAACAGCAGTCGCTGCGGGTTCGTGAGGCCTTTGAACTGGTGCGCAATCTTATCAAACTTTCAATCACATACGTGAAACCAACCCCTATTGTTTGGGAAGAATACTACAAACCGGTGTCTTATAAATTGTTGGAAATAGCCGTAAGTTTGGTGTCGCATTTTGTCCTATTTTTCCTCAGGATTTCGACCAAAACATGCCAGATCCACTTTGCCGTCACCAGCTGACTATGGTTGCAGATTCGGCCATTGTACTGGCTTGGTGTACTGTGGTACGTCGCTCTTGTTTGTCTACCCTTATCCCGTATTTCCCTCCAGCCGACGTCGTCCGTTCTGGTCAAGGAAATTCGTGAGGCGACAAATGCGTTTGCCAATAAAGGTTTCCAGTATTGCTATTCCAGGTGGGCTTTTCTGGCATTCAATTCCTTCTATCATTTTAGTTTCGATGAAGAACTAATAGGTCTTTTCAGATATTGACGGTTTCAATCTTATTGTAGTCTAGCCTTGATAACTCGTCTTTTAGGCTAACTGAGGTCACATTCGACGGGCTTGCATTTGCCGATTTCTCAGGAATGCGTGGTCTCTGGAAATCAGTATTGATAGTCTCTGTGATCGATATGTTTAGCCGGGTTTTAGGTTTAGCTGATAATGTTGACTAACCACACGAATGGGGAATTCGTTAACTGGTACATTAATACTACATGTTTATTTGAATTTTGCGTGACTCTGCACTGTTGTACTGGAGCAACTCAGTTTGTTGTTGTGACATATCCACCTGTTCTCTAGTTTCCTACCGACGAGTTGATTCGGCTGTAATAACTGTGCTGGGTTGTCTGTGCGCTCCGTATGCTAGGTGATCGATATTCTCGCCGTACCCTGTTTATTGAATCAGGTTCCGATCGCATGGTATCACAAGTTGGACAGTTCTTAACCTGTGGATCATGAAGAACAATAATGGATCTGATTTGTACTGCTGTTGTTGCAAGGTTGGGATATCAAAGTTCCACCACATCACTGGCCTTACGTCAGCTCCAGTATACTCGAGTGGATTTTACTATAGGTATCTTACTACTTATCGGTGGATCCTGACAAGTTGTGGTTGCATTGGTGTTTCTGATGCACTAGGCAGCCACTTGAAGTTGAGCACTAGTGAGCATTAGTTGCTTCCCAATTGTTTCTTATTCGAATGTAACTTTGAGTCTGAACAACCACTCATCATTGTATCAACTGCTCACGCAAAACAAAAATCCACTCCTATTCTTTTGTGTAATTCAACTGTCAATGGTTAGAGAGTGTTAGTCCATGTTAATTCACGTGGCTCACTTTTACCCTGTTGGTCGCACGATTTGTGCCTGACCAGAGACTCCATGCATTGCTAGTATTCACGCGCTTCATTTTTTCACTACCGAACCGTTCCACTTTCAGTCATGCGACGCACACAGAATGGATACGTGCCTGGATGGCTTGCATCAAGGGAGTACAGGATGTTGTAGACACTCATTTCCGGTACGGCCTTACGTGGCTTCCTGAAGGTCCTAAGGTGCCACCACCCCCGAAGGCGATACGTCCCATGTTGATGTATGATAATGGGAGAGTTGCGTCAAACAGGACAACTACCAAGGTATGTGACTCCATCAGTTATCTTCCTACTGATATGTGTCTTATAGCGAACGTCCCTTCCGTGGGCCTCTACAAAGCCTCCAACCCTGTGTGAGACAAATGGAGGCATAGATCCACATGCGAAGTTACTATCTGAAATTTCCAGGACACGTATGTCTTTGCGCCATGTCTCTCCTCCTGATATACTTTTGTGAAAAAATCGGAACCATCAGCTTTCTGAGCTTTCAACCTTTGGTAAGTTTATACCGCCTTTATGTGTAGGTTGGTTCAAGCTTGTTGGCACCGAAGAATTTTATTACCGTTATTCAAAGTAGTTTGGCAATACAACTCTGCGGGGTTTCTAAAAGGTGACGCAGTACACCCCTTCCTTTTACGTTTTTGGAGTTATCCACGCTTTGAACCACAATATCTTGACTATGTTGAGTGGGTAGTGGTGTCTAGGTTGGAATAATCTTCGGAAAGTAACTCCGGAAGTGATCAAATACGGCAGTATCATTTGTGCTAAATGCGACGATCTCATCCATGGTGCAAACCTGAACATTTCTGTCATGCAGGTGCTTCTTTCTAAAGCGATCCCGTTGCCTTGACCGTGGATAAGCATAAAGCAATCAAGGTATCCAGAGTTCTTTGTTTCTTTGTTCGGTCATATTCGCCGAAAATCGGATGTTAACTTTCTCCCGTAATGGACGGTGTTGATTACTGTCGCACTTGCTGAAAGTTTTCCTTAGGTGTGGTCCATGGCATTTTTCTGACCCACAACGGGTGCATACCAGCCAAAATAAGTGAAACGATCGACCCACTGGAGCTTTCCTCGTCACATTGCGCACATACCATTGGAGTCATACGCTTGTGTGATATTTCACTTTTCGCCCCTTGAGTAGTGATCAGTTATTCGGCTAATTCCCTCCTTCTTAATCAAATGCACCGAAGCATCCGAACAAGTCTGAGTTTCGGTTGTTCGGTCGAAAAACACACCACAGTTATTTGAAGTAGATTTATCAGGTTCTTTTAGGGGTGCCTGTGTGTTATCAACAACACACTGGTTTGTACCAGAGGTCCTCTGAAAAAGAGCAATCAAACAGTTTCACAATGGTCTCCCAGAAGTTAACCGAATGAATTCGGTGGTCAGAGTATTACCGAAGTTGTCCTTAATGCATTCAAGCAGCCAAGAATCTACCCCTATGTGAACCACACGATCGGCCTATGCCTGAGGTGCCGTGGCAACGGCTGCACCTGGATTGTGGGTCCAATCGATGGCCTAGATTACCTGATAATTGTAGACGCTTTGACGAAGTGGCCAGAAGTCTTTTTCATGCGCAAGACATATACCGAAGCATCTACCGACTGCAGAAGCTATTCGGTTGTTTCGGGTTACCTGATACAATAGTGGCTGACATTGGTACGCAGTTCGCCTCAGCTTTTTTTAATGACTTCCGAGTTCGGAACACGCTATCGCATATCTGATCACTACCGTACCACCCTCAATCAAGCCAAGAGATCTGTGGATACCTTCAAACGAGCTCTGTTGAAACCTTGAAGAGAAGGACCAACAGATGATGTCATTGTTGCTTTCCTAATCAATTGCTGGACGACCTCAAACCCACATGCACCAAATTGGGAGTCTCCAGCCGAGATAATGTTTAGGAGGAAACGGTCTTAAATGACTCGTCAAGTGGGATTAACTCGTACACATCCTTCATTCACGGATGTGAATGAAGGTCAATTGTTGACGAGCACCGTGTAGAGTTGTCTCTTTCACAGAGAAACTACACAACGCGACACGCTTCCTCCAAGTACCATATATTATTGATTGAAGAAACCCTAACACGGACACTGTTGGTCCAAAATACTTGGCTATCCACGTTGCTATTTGGCCGTTCATCTCTGAAGCGTGCCAGATGCTGCAGCCGTGAAGGCCATGTTCTTTCGGGATTAACGTTTATGTTCTACGGACCAGACCGGCAGCTTAACAGACTGGGAAGACAGTGATTGCGCCTCAACTTCATCCACGTGTCGCGTAGGGTATAGGGGTTATATGAGGACTATCCATTTATGGATGGCGAGTTTGTCCCGGAAAGCTGTCCAATCTATCCCATGTAGTAATGCCTCTCATATAACCATTTCCATCGGTTCTTTCTTTCACCCATCCCCATTTGCCCAATCACGCAACGAGCCGCCAGTTTTACAGATTTGTCTCCATGCTGTAAAACCCCAACAATGAGCTAAGCTACAGACGCGTTCTTATATAGGCAACTATTCAGCTGTCGGGCAAGCACTGTGGTCTGTTCCTCTGTGACCTGTTTCATTCGTTTTGGATTACGGATAGAAACTTGTTTGTCGACCACCGTTCCCGCTTTCCTTCGTCTTATTGGTATCGTTAGCCCTAATTCATCAACCGTATCGACAGATTTTGATCTGTCACTGAACAGACTACTATCATTTGCCTTTTCAGCGTGACTGTGATGCTCTCACCTGTTTATGCTAGTCTGCTTATTTATTTTTCTTTCCACTGGATCATTATGCTATAGAGACTAGGACTTTCTTCATTACTACCATACCACTTCGTGGGAAGCGTTTTGATAAGATTTCCATTTCTCTTCTCTCTACCCTCCAGGTACTGCACACCGTCCTTTCGAACCTCATGGTGGCGGTTCATCTTCTTTCCTCAATCAATACCGAATCGACCTTGTTGCAGCCCACGTGCTCTTGCATTTATATCGCACAGTTTTTCCTTGGCTTGGATGGTGACCTACTCAGTAACTTCACAGTGATTTTAGATCGAAACTTGCGAACGAAATTGCTTTCTGCTTTTACGGCCGCTCATCACCCCCCCACCCTTTGAAAAAAAAGACAACCCCTTATTAGCCTGATTTTCGATCAGTCTTTTACTACTATTCTTATCTTAGTATGAATCAAATCAATTGTTATACATTGAACGATATTTTAAGTAGCTTTAACTCCTGTGTTCTTACGAACTTGCTCGACATAGTGATCACAATCAGCTTGAATTTCTCCTCTTTCCTTGGTTGAATCTACACAGCACGCCAGGTCGGAACGGCTGTTTGTTTGATGGGTGTAGATAGGTTAGGAACAGTTCCTAATCAGAATCAGCTTTCGGTACAAGTTGCAACCATGAGTTTCTGGTCCCGATGCGTCAATCTGCGCGTCGTCAGTGCTCTATCGTTTGTAGCAGATCTATTGTTTTGGCCTTTCCTGTCTACTCGGTTAAATCAGTGATAAATAAGCAGATCTGTTCTCCACTGTCCAGCGCTAATGCTCTTGTGACATAGGTTACTGTTGATCAAAAGTCTTCGCAATTTGGGTTCGAGTAGAACATAAGGTTGACGGAAACTCGGGGACTGCGCCTACCTGATGAGTCCCAAGAAGGGCGAAACCGGTCGTGGGCTGTCGAAGAGTTTTCAGCAACCTTGTGAGTAGTTTCCTTCATGAAAAGTCAGTGCACTTTTGAGATTTCTGTTCGTGTTTGCAGCAGGCTTTGACTACTTAGTGAGTAGTTTGTTCATGGAATACGGTTGTCCTTACATCACTAGCCCCGCACAGGGGAAGTCAGTTACTAGAAAGTAGGCGCGGTTTAGTAGGTTTTGTAATTGGAGTCTATTAGCTTTTGTGTTCTTGGAGGTTTCATTACAGTTTTTCAGTTCTGACCGGAAATAGTGTTGCGGTGATTAATAGATTTGACCAGATGTGTTAGTACATTATCGAACGCCATTTGGGCCATGTAAATGGATCTTCCATTAGATCTCATTCACACATTCTCCTCTACGCGGCGCTGCTCCTTTCCCGATGCAATTATTCCGGTCATGCATCACCACCTACGACTAATGTCTGCGGCTTTTTTTTTCTGGCAACTGTTGATGATAGTATGGATAGGATACGGATGGATTGTAGCTGCCACAGTACGCGGTCATTACAGCTGAAAATTTATGATGATGGTGATACGGGTGGGTGGGTTAGTGCGTTGTAGCATATTGCAGAACATGGGAGAAACACTGGTCTGCTAAACCCCGCATGTAGTATGCTTCTTATCCAGGTCACTACCGTCACTCCATTTACTAGTTCCACATTCGATGATTTTTCTTCCTATCCTTGCAAAAAACGTTCCTCAATATTGCCACCAATCAGCTGATCATACGTCATTTGTCTACGATTAGCCTTCACTAACCTTATAGTTGCATGTCAAAACAAAACGTGTATAGATGTTATACACTACTCATAAGGTTACTCTTTTACTCTGGTTGGTGCTGGAATGACCTCTATCATTGGTCTCTCTGGGTTCCGATTTGTGACCTTTGTTGATCTGACTCCAAGGGGTTTCTGGGTTTGTAATCCGATGTGCGGCTCCTCAGACCATTCCAGTTGAGGTATTGGTTATTAGCACGTAGCGGTGCGTAAATCGGATCTAGTTCAATACGTCGGTTAGTAGAATACGTCATGGAGTATCATGCTTCCAGAAATTCCCGTCCATATCTCGTGTCTCCATAGGCCAAGATTTTCGCCTTTCCCAGATTGAGTTTGTGGCCCTCTTAGTATTCATGTATGAACATGAAGGATAGAGGATCATGTTTCCTGAAGGCTGCGCTGTGTTCTTTTATTCGTGTGCATAATTTCCTCCCAGCTTGTCCAACGTAGAAGTTGTTGCAATTGTTCCACTTGTTTTTGTCGCTGCGCTGTTTCTTTTATTCGTGTGCATAATTTCCTCCCAGCTTGTCCAACGTAGAAGTTGTTGCAATTGTTCCACTTGTTTTTGTCTTCCGGTTTTGAAATCAGTTTCCATGAAGTAATATCCGGTTTGTCGACTGTGAGGATTCGTTTTTGAGCTAATAATCTAGGTCCAGATGTATTCTTGATGTAAGTTAAAGCTACCTGTCTGTTCGCTTGTTCTTCAAACTTGCCTTCAAACTTTTCTTGATGAAATATCGTTGTTCTAGAATACGCCGAATAAGTGGTTTTCTTCCTTCTTTCTTGGTGCTGTTGTGTGTCCGCTGTCTTGGGGAATTTGAACGTGTCTTCTTGTGGTTCTGTGGATGGTTGCTGTTGTAGTTCAGTAGTGGATCCGTATGTCTATTTCCTGTATACGTAGGTTTCCAGAATCCTATTCATCCTTTTGTTTACTAGAACGTCCAAGAACGGTAGTTGGTCATTCGTTTCCAGTTCGGTTGCAAACTTGATATCTTTAAGTGTGGTAATGAGCACCATTTTGGGATGAAAAACTTGCCATCGACGTGCGGATCCATAGCCTTGGACTGATTGGTAGTACCGCGTGCTCTAATCTCTGCCTTATCGCTCCAGTGATAATCCCAATTTTTCCTTACCTCTCTGAAGCAGGATTACTTGGACATCTGAAACTACTTTTTCAGAGATTAGATTAAACGAAAGTTTTATTACCGATCAAAAATGGGAATACTTCTCTACACGGAGTTTCTCAATCTTAGCCGTATCTGCGGCGTTCAACAACGAAAAAAGAAAGTAAATTTTACCTCGGACTCGCGCGTATTTAAACACTATTACGGCGTTGGCAATCGCAACCGTATTCCTGGGATAAATAAACCAAAGCTTAAACCTGACGCTAATCAAATTTATTGGTGGGAAATCCAGAATTGGGTGTGCGCCTGGTCGAGGCTATTAACTTCGACGGCCTTCTTTAAAGGGGAGAAGAAACACCGTTGTCGGTAGATTTTGAGCCCAGCGAAATGGGAGCGAGACAATCAAACTCAAACGTTCCTCTGGGACTACATGAGCTGCTTTCTGTAGACGTAGATGTCTAGTGAATCTCATCGGTAATCAGCACGTTCCGCACCCACACGTCTGGATTCAGAACTGGGAACTAAGACGGTTGACGGAAACCCGGGGACTGCGCCTACCTGATGAGCCCCAAGAAGGGCGAAACCGGTCGTAAGCTATCGATGGATTTTCACCAACCTTATGAGTAGCACATTACAAATATACATGTATCGCGATATTTCAGATATCGTAGCGACTGAAACATGAGGCGGCCTGGTGCAGCACATTCAGTTGTCTGAGAACATCATAAACGAGAGATTCAGCTGGGTTCCAGGTGAGTCTCTCGAAAGAACCGAATTAGTTTGCAGATGAGTGTATATTCGCTAATTTCGTGCAATTTGGTTTCAAGTAGAACATAAGGTTGACGGAAACCCGGGGACTGCGCCTACCTGATGAGCCCCAAGAAGGGCGAAACGGGTCGTAAGCTGTCGATGGATTTTCAGCAACCTTATGAGTAGCACATTACAAAAGACTGAAAGTTGTTCAGTTTGGGAATGCTGTTCTGTTCAAGGGAAATCGAGTGAAGCAACATGAACTGCAGAAACACCGGAACAGGACCCTCCAACAAGGGCTGGGAACAAGAAACTTTGGGAAGACTTCTAAGACCCTTGTAAGACGTACCTGTCAAAACGATAATCACAGATCCATGTTACCAAATGTCTAACATTGGATAAAGGTGGCTTATTTCAGGGATTTTTTAGTCCACGAAACTATGTTTTCTAGCACGCTCCCTTATGAAAGATCATTAAAAGTCAATGATAAGATTGAGGTAGCAGGTTGTATCGCTTAGTGATACAGTTGTAAGAAAGACGGTAGAGGAAATGACAATATTAGCAAACGAGAATCAAAGGCAGCGGAATAAACCAAAATCACAGCAATGTGGTAGGAAAAATAGAGCGAAAATAGTTACTTCAAAAAAACCCCATTCTGATCAGTGCTATTCAGGGGATCCAACATCCTTAGGAAATTGGGCAGATCATCATTTACCGGTTGAGGTTGGAGGGCCTGTGAAAGCAACAAGTAAGAAACGGCAAATGGCATCACAACGCATAAAACTGCTAAGGCCAGATGAAAAATATGGTAGATCTCCACGAACCTGCATCCGTTATCCAGTCTAATTTCTGGTATGACCAGGTACCGTAAGTCTTCGAAATTTTCGGAGGAAATTTATCCCCACGGCAGTGAAGCATCGGTGTTGAACACTGATGTCATGCTGTCGATGATGGTGATGACATTACAACTAAAACACATAAGCACATCGGATAGTAGGAAATATTTTTTACCCACAGACAAACACCACTCTCTACAACTCCTAACACTTGGGTGCAAGAAGCAGATGAGGGCTGAAATAAATGGGTGTAATTTCCCGAATCTTGAACACTGTTTCATGCTGGCGATGATGGTGATGACATTACAACTAAAACACATAAGCACATCGGATAGTAGGAAATATTTTTTACCCACAGACAAACACCACTCTCTACAACTCCTAACACTTGGGTGCAAGAAGCAGATGAGGGCTGAAATAAATGGGTGTAATTTCCCGAATCTGTGCGGCTACGAAGCATCAGTGCCTAAGATCACCGTTTTTGGTGACGAAAACTACCATCCACGCCATAGCTTGATTGCGCGAAGTACTTCGAAATTCACTCACTCCTTTGTTGTCCTACAGAACAGGTATTCTCGTATATCAATATAAAAACCTTAAAGTGGAGTAACTAAACTCATTGAAGAAGCAGCATTTATGGGTTTCCTGCGTTTTCCCTTTTCTAAGCTCTTTTGGTCTACGGGGTTTTGCAACAGCACTCGGTTTCAAATACAGCTCGAGGGTCTACTGAGTTGAATAGCGCCTGTTTTCCAGATTACAGCAAGGTTAAGTTCGTCAAATGTCGAGTCTGACTTCTTGGACTTTATGGTATGGACAGAATTTCACAGGATTTTGTAGATCACGTTACGATAGGTAGGTGACGTCACATCTACAAAAACCTGTTGTCGTTTGAACGTACAGACCAGTCAGCTCGATACGAGTTGACGCGTCGCTTAGTGTCAGCAGATAGTACAATGCCCTGGGGTTACAAAGTATGTACACTTTCAAGCGATATGTTGTAGAGGTCCATTGACTGAAGGTATGCCGATCAACCCGACCTGGCTATCGTAGAAGAAGGCGCAGTTGTTGTTCCAATGGATTACGTGCATTGAATGCATGAACTAGGGACACTTGCCAGTGAACTCCTGAAGTGACCTACGTCGCCCGGTTTATATCAAACTCATTGTTTCGAGTAGGACGGCCTTAATATCTGCTCTGTACACACAAACGACATTTATTCTATCAAGCAAAATATTCAACCAGCTAGTTTTCGACAACTGCCTTGATTCTTGCGCTGTACCGGTAAGCATCCACTATCGGGCGGATAACGCGGACACGAGCCATTAGTAGTGTATTCAGTAGTATGGAAAAACAGTAGAAAACGAGAAAGTGTTTGTGAAGAAAATTCTACTGCTGTATGTTACTTGGCAAGTGACTAAAGTGGCAGTATAGCGAGACACGTATTATGGTTGCGTACCAGGGTTGATAGGAGATACATCGATATGTACTTATTTTTGCACCCGATTAGTGGTCTGGTTCAGAAAATGTACCATCGGATGGTGAGCTTACCAAAGAAGTATGTACTCTCTCTGGGTTCCCATAACGCTGGCTCACAAGAGGCCAAACCAAATGTAACATCCAAGACAAGGCATGCGCATGATACACAGCGGATTTTAACTGCCTCGAACGAAAACAGCTATTGCCATACAGCCGAAAGACAGGTCGACTTAACAAGCCCATGAATCTGAACTGTCTGTAGCTTGATGGACTGAGAAACCTTTGGCCCTCAATCAAATCTAGATTAAGAGATAACTTGAAATAAAACCCAGACTTAACTGACACACCTTGTCTACAGCAGGACGAAACTCCAACGGAGACACTTTAGAGTCCGGCGAACGTGGGATGGAGAGATTATCGACATAATGCGGTTTCTAGTCACATCCACATAACGCAGTTCCGGGAGGAAGAGTTCAAGCCTAAGTGGCTCATAGGACTGGATTGGACACCGAGCAAGGTAATGGTTAGGCTGCGGATTCTCAGTGAACCAACCTAACATCTCCCAGATTTTTGGTTGAAACAGCTGAGTCCAGCTGTACATTTCTGGGCTCGTGATGAATGTTGCTAGGAGGTATTTAGAACGATCCCTTTCAAGAACGAGCAGTATGACGAACATGCACAAGAGGAAGAAAATGGAAAACTAGTTGGTTGAAAAATTGTTGATGTTTAACCAGAAATAACGTATTTCTTGAGTCCCACAAAAACCACAGTGAGTCAGGGGACCAAAAAAATTTAATCAATCGATGATGTCATCTATTTGGGCCCTTCGGTTCGGAATCAGCAACAGATCAGACCACTGTTGCTCATTCTCTGGTGGATGGCATCCACAGAGGATGAGTGAGACAAAGTAGACGAGATGGGTGGCATAGACAATGGTGAAAAGGATATCATGTAGGTTCATTGAAGATGTTCGCTACCGTACACGACTATCGCACAAACACTGGTGTTCGGAAAGCAAAGACGCCTGAAAGAAAAGGTGCAGGACTAGGAGACCGGCATCAGGGGAGTAACGTTTCTGGGTTGAAGACGATAAAAAAATTAACGTATGGGGAAAACACCTGTGACAACCTCCTCACTAATACAAGGATATGACTTCACGGCATCCACGATTATTCCGCTTTCCACCCTCTGAATTACGATCATATTTTGTCTCTGACTGGTTACCGCGAGCGAGTCTTGTATAGTGGATCACTAAAAAAATGAGACTTTGGTCACAACGGGAAACAAAGAATACGAATAGGTCCTGTAGTGTTTCTCGGCTAATGCCTTCAATCTGGTGCTTATGTGGATAAGCAGTCCAATTAGTTCACGGCTATTCCCGAGATCAGGCTAACGAGCCTCCGCTGAGAAGAGATCGGATAAAATTGGGGATCCACGACACTTGGAAACTGGATATTCCTCCTACTTTTGAAATCTGAAAAAATAGTTTGCGGCTGTCTGATGGGAAGCAATGGTTATGCACCCTAACTGAGACTTGGGGCATATCTAGGGTGAGAGATTCATGGGTTAAAACTGAAAAAAGGGAAACAGTTACAGTATGAACACTACACTGGAGTTTACAGGTTTTAACAATGAAAACTGAGCGGCCAAATATCTCACGTTTTTTCAACCTACACCGAAATATGTCGATCCCGATGTATACATGTACAACTAAGGAGTAAGTGTAGACAACGATGACTTGCGATACATGTTGGTTTGACAAACCACGAGCCTCTTCATATCGCAACAAACGAGAGTCATGGGTTACGAATTATACACATTGAAATCAACTGCGAAGCGAACTGACCCATCAGCTTTGCACGTTAATGCTATGACAATTGGAGTTCCTTGATCAAAACATGCTACATTTATGCAGAGTGGTGCATATAGTACTGGCAGATTTAGCACAAGCGACCATAACCGATATAATCAGATCGCACTAGGATTGCTTCCACTGAGGCGAAAGAGCAGGCCATCTACGATGATGAACTGATTTTCACAGCTATCACAGAGGACTGGGTAGGAGTAATATATATCTGAAGATTAGGACGACGGATATACCGTCCATCTGTTTTTATGCAATCTGTTTGTGTATGTATGCACGGTCATGAATACTACTACTCCACGTAAACTGTTTGCAGCCTCGGAAGCTTCAACTATTCGCAATCGATCATGTGTACAAAAACGATGTGTAGATGGCTCACTTGGCGCTCCGGACAATACGGGTCAAACGCGTCCAGAAGATTCACATGATCCCGACTGTGGTAATGCAGAGGGGGAGAAAAAGGCAACTCAGTGACAGGGTATAGAGAACTAAACTACACAAACCAGAGTACACCCTGGAAACCACACAGAATCAAGGATACCGGGGTTGGATGTGTGAACAGCACTATTGAACCACACCAAGAAAAATCAAGTGAAAAGCCTAAAGTGCGTGTGGCAAACCAGAGTGCTGTAATGCTTTGTAGGGAAGTAATTGAAGTTGTAACCAAGTAACAAACTGCGTTACGAACGTTACTTAAGGCATTCAGTTTAGTGGTTTAAGTGGAAAGCGGCTGTTCCCTCCGGCTTTTGCACAATCTATCGATCAAAAGAACGGTTAATCGAGACCGGTCTGTGACGATACCCCTTCTAAAGAAGGATAGTCAGCAAATCTTACCTAAGCCATCAATTACAGGATGGTAACCTATGGTTGATTGTCAGTACGAAACCGGCGTGATGACGATACCGCAACCTGCTTTGCGTTGGTAATTTAAACAGGACTAATACATTGGTTGTTCACTTGATCAGGTTAGTCAGAATTCAACCCAATTTTTCAATTCATCAGGTGTAAACCATGTGCCAAAGGCATACTTGTTCGGGCCGTTACAGTTTCGATCACCGGAAAACGGGGAAGTGGAGCGTACGACCAAGCCTTCGAGGCGAAGGCATGTTCAGTTTGTTCGGACAGTGGGTTCTGCGCATTGAATGCGATAGCTTTGACGCACACGCCACTGACTACGCGATTAAGCCACTTCCACCAATGTCATTAACCACTGGTGACTTGAGTCCCGGGGTCCCCATCCAGGGAGACAGCAGTTGCCCACCCGACTAAGTTTACTGGTTAGTGTTTTCGTACTTCGTTGCCGGGTCATACGCTGTCCACCTCTCGATCGCTTCCACTTGTAAGAAAGAGCTCTATGAGGCAGGTCTCCTGGCATGCGGAGTACATGTCCCAACCAGCGCAACCTATGAAGCGTGGGTAATTCATCTATCGTGGGAGAGTTCCTTCTTCCTAAAACCATCTGGCGTACCTCACTCCGGAATGCTTCAGCTATAGGAGGAAAGTGACTTGATAGCGGAAAACATTGACAATTTGGAGCTGCCATAGTGATCCGATAAAGGAGTCCAAGGGACCGATCATGAGATTGCACTAACCAGTCAGCTTAAGTAGTGAACATAAAATCTGCAACTTTCAACAATAAACGCGATTATGACTGGGCCACATAATGATATTGCTTCAAGTCATTGGGGAGTAACTAAAACGATATTCACTGACAGAAATACAAAGGACGCGAATATGACCCAACAGGAGCACTATTCCAACACTGCTGTGATTCGAAGAGCGTAACGTAACAACAGTAAACGGAAATCCGAGTTTTACCGATAGACAATCGTATCGATTGTCCCAAACAGACCAACTATGGCGGAAATAACGCGTTTATTCCCGACGTCGACACAACAAGGCTACCGATTCAAGAAGTTTGCACAAGAATCAACTGTGAATAAACGCGCCCGTGCTGGCAATACTTCGGCGCAATGCAAATTACACTTATCCGTTACAGATCATTGTGTGAGTAACAGGAGTCAACGCTCATGTGCTGCATTTGCCCCATAATAAACTACTTAATCCGTAACGTTCAGTAAGAATTAGTGAAATGCCCCTGGTGTATCTAAGGAGGTAGTGAGGAAGTAGATTTCCCGCGTTAGGGCAGAAATATGAAGAGATTGCCGCTAATAGCGAAATGAAATATGAAAGATTGCCGCTAATAGCGAAATATTACGTGATTTAATTGTAGACTGCTTACAATACTTAAGTAGCTAAACGAATGGTTCAAACGAATTGAACGCGTACCTGTGGGGACGATGTTAGTTACTCCATGGGTTTTTCATGATTCAAGGGTCACGCCAGCAATGTTAGTTATCTCGATAACAGGGTGAGACGGTACTTGCACTAACTAGAACTATCCGAACAACGCTGACTAAATGTCGCAGAGCTGTGAACATCCACCGCTTTCCACCGTAGGACATGCACGTTCGAATTTCGTCTGCATATCGATTACGCGAAGTGTAAGTGCAGCTAGACAGAAGCGTTTTTCGGATGGTGAATACGACTTCGAGAAAAAGACCGTCCGCTTTGTTGGATATTGGTGTAAAGCTGTGTCACGATTTTGACTGAATCATTGCGAGCCAGACACGAGAAGAGGCGAGAATCGTGCGACAGACCGAAAACTGGAGGGAGAAGGCTGCATAGACGTGCAGGATCAGCGTTAAGCACAGCCGAATTAATGCTTAGGTAATCCCAGTGTTGACAAGGAATGAAAGAATGTTAACATTTCCAACGCGGAATGCCTTTGCAGCATCATCCACGACAATCAAGTCGGTTGGTTACCACCTAGTGACAGGTGACTACGCCTCGATTAGTACTGAATTTACTACACCCCACTCAAAACGGCTTGAATCAATTCACAGAACCAGTTTAGCACAGTGAGAAAACATTGTTAGTGACAGGTTGACAGCTGATTCGTGCATATTGACCTTGGGAAATGAAATAACTACAAAAGCTGCCGAGGACTGCTTTGGATTCGGCCGAAATCACATGGACACCAGAAGGAGTACGAGGTTCATTTAGAATTCAGGATGGCAGGCGGCTGAACGAATGGACGATGCGTGATCAATGCCTTTTCATTGAAGAGATAAGTAGTGATTTCAACGCCTGGCTTCAGTGGGATGCCTAGCAGTCAAGACGGGACAAGCGTGAGCTGGGTAGTGCATTCTTCATCCGGTGCTTGTAATGCATACGTACAAACGGGGATGCTTAGCGCTCACAATCCCCATTGGCTGTGGGTATAAGCTGAACAGGATACTTTCACCCAAGTTCACCTGAGGAGAAGTGCCTTCTTTGTTCACTGTCTGTAGCGATTGTGCTCGGAAAGAAAATGAACAGGTCTCATAGCACCAGTTAGTTGGATGTGAGCTGTGTGCGGAGATGGCAGAGGGATTCATTTGGTGAAAAGTGCATTTCTCGCATTATCAGTGTTGCCACTTATGCTTCACTGCCGCGTGCTCGGAAATGAACAGGTCTCATAGCACCAGTTAGTTGGATGTGAGCTGTGTGCGGAGATGGCAGAGGGATTCATTTGGTGAAAAGTAAAGTGCTCGCATTATCAGTGTTGCCACTTATGCTTCACTGCCGTGCAACCATAAGGTTTGTCTAGTTATATATATATATAATTGTATTAAAAGCCCTACAAAGAAGAGAAGAGAAGAGTGGGTGAGGGAGGGGACTTAGTGCTGGCCTATGTCAAGCATACTGAGGTGCCTACACCTCCAACCGCTCAATCA